TATGTATAAATTGTAAATGTTGAAGTTCCTTCGACTTCTTCATAGTTTAAAAGTCTTAATAAAAATTCTGACTCCGCTACTGATCATATCGATCAACTCACGATGATTAAATAAATATTGGTTAAGTGAGAGGAAGTATATATGCAAACACATGTTATATGCATCTATTGATTCGATGTAAATATATACCGTTAAAAATTAGTAAATAATTCACATGATATTAAGTTGACATATACATCCAATCCACGAATTAATTTAATTTATAAATAATATCGTTATAGTAAAGGTCGCAATAAGTATTAAGTACCATATAAATTTCATTCCTTTTATAGACTAAACAAAACTTATGAAACATTTGATGAAGACCTCATATTATTTCTATTACAAAAATAAAATAAAGTCTTACCATCTCCCAACCAGAAATACTAAAAACACTACTTATAATGTTTTCAATTATTTGTATGGTAGTTTTTCAATTATTTGTATGGTAGTTATTAAATCCAGTACAACATATTATATAGTTGGTTTGCAAGTGACATTTAATATATGGTTCCAAATTACTGCAGCTTAGAAGACTTTTTGAGTTCAACATATAATGTGAACATTTGATGAAAATAGCATATTTTTAAGTTTTTGAATTGTGACCTCTACATTTATTTACTCCACCGTTTATTTTTACTTGTTCAATTTAAAATTTTAAGAGATAATTTATTACGTAAAATTGTCATTCTATTCATTGTTTCTTGACGAGTGTGTCAAATCAATATTGGACGAGTAAAAATAGACGGAGGAAGTATTTAATAGCTTGAGATCTACCGAATTCATTAATTTTACATAGGGGTCATCTTCAAGTAGGTAATTAATTAATTAAACGTCGTTCTTAATTTTAATGTCTTTTATATATTTTCTTCTCATTTACATAAGAAATACTTTTGCAATATATCTTTTTACATAAATATACAGTAAGATTACATACTTTCATATGATAGAGCTAATACAATCCGATCCTTTTTTATAGAATCAGCTTATAATATAAACTTAGTGTATTGAATTATTTTTTCTTTATGTTTCTTCCCTTAATTAAATGAGCATCTATGATATGATCCTAAACAAGTTGTGCATGGCTCTAATTTAATTTTATTGTATAACGTCATGACAAAATATGGATAAGCATTTACGGCTAACGTATATTATTGATGGGATATGCAAATTAAATTAGCTTATCTTAAAATCATTTTATCATAAATCTATGACATAATCATGACGTCAGTCTATTATCATCAATTTTGTACATTGAAATATGAAACTATGCTAGAAGGAAATTTAATGTTTTTTTTTAAAAACAATTTAGATTAAATAATTACACGGTTTCATTAAAAAGAATTTGTTAAAAAAAGAGGATTTATTTCACTTTCAAAAATAGTCTTCAAAATTTAATAAGGTGAGAAGATAAAAGAGTGTCTGGTTGTGAAGACCCTTTTGACTTCCTTTTAATTATGAACAACATAATTATATACCTAATCTTAACCCCACTAATTGGAATCAATAAATTGATGTACTATTCATCCGTCTATTTATACTTGGCTAATATTTACTTGACACGCTCTTACAAAATATAAATAAAATGACAATTTTATTATATCACTATACCTTAAAAATATACAATATTTTGGAAAATGCATTAGGAAATGATTATAGGTTATAATAAAGATAAATTAAGAACTAAATAATAAGTTATTTCTTAATTTCTAAACTGAACAAATAAAAAGGACATTATTTTTAATATAATAAACAAGTAAAAATGGATAGTGAAAGTACTAACTATATTTTAGTATTAACAAATTTAATAGGGTCTCCTATAACACATCCAATATCTTGTTCTTATATAATAGTATTCGAGCAATCTTGCAATTTGCAAACACTTCAAATATGGTTAAAATCTGTATGTATCGAATGTTTACATCTAACTAATGAATGTGTAACGTGTTTGAACATACGGTTGGAAAATTCTTACCAGAATCATGAAACTCACTTAATACAAGAACTATCAAATTGAAGACAACTAAACTGATATCATGTTGTAGCCCAGGTTCCTCTTTAACAATGTGATGGTTTTTATATTCTTGATCTTCTGCTCCCCTTCCTTAACAAGCTGATATTCTTGGCAGCTATCTTTGCGTGACCTTGAGCCAATTATCCTTGTTTAGACGTCTGGCAGGTGACGATCTATATATAGTTCTAAGCGCAGCGTTTAGGTCATCTATAAATCATTTATGTCTTCAATTCCAACAGAAATTTGAACTACATGCATCCTCAGTAAGATCTCTAGCCTCACGTACTGCAACAGGTATAGCCGCATGGGACATGAAACATAGCAGACTTATGAGTGACTTGACACTTCGTGCAACATTCGGGACCAGAAATGAGATTGATGATATTTGATCTTTAATATTGGATTAAGAGGATTAGAGTATACTCACCAAAACTGACTGAAATGTTGAAGTATTTGGTGACCTCAACTACATGACCCGGTCAGAGAACTCAATTCTGATCCTGAAAACACCAGCATGGAATGTCAAATGCCAATGGAAATTAAAGGTAAACCAAGAATACTAAAAGTAGGTTTAACATACCTTTGAATAGTGAAAATATCTGTCAGGATGGCCGGGAAAACCAGCACAGTTGACCATCTTCACTCAAGGAGCAATTTTTTGTGCATTTTCTTGCCATCTTGTGGAAACACACAATGTCCATTTATTATACAACTTTGAATATTATGATTTATCAGACAAGCACTCACCAGTAAAAAGTATAAATGTGAGGAAACAAAAACTCCGAATTCAAGCTTTCGATCAAGCAAAAAGAAAAAGGTGGCAAGAAAATTCTTAAATAGGGAGCAAATATATTATAAAAAGTCATTGGATACACGGACTTTAAGAAATTAATACAGGACGAATGGAGCTCTAAGCTCGTTTGGTGTGAGAGATTAAAAATAATAGTGATGGGATAAAAAAAAATTATGTTGTTTGGTTGCCATGTTTGGGATAACTTATCCCACCATTTATATCATAGTGATGGAATAAGTTATCCCATATACATGGTGGGATAAGTTATCCCAGGATAACTTATCCTGGGATAACTTGTTTCCAACCAAACGACCCCTACAAAGTATTAAAGAAAGTCACATATTTATTTTTTTTGAAACAGAAGGAAGTCATAGATTTATAAAGGTACTTGTTTGTCCTCGCCCACAGTTGAAGATTTCTGTGTTGAATTTCTTAATTCAAACCCATCTTGTGATTCATCACCACAAGATGAGTAGGATTTCCAACTCGTCTTACTGGAAGCTCCAAGACAAGTAGGATTTCCAACTCGTCTTGTGATTCATTGCCACACACAGACGACCAATTATGTATCTGGAAGGAGGTTTCCAGGTCTAGCATGATTACCAAACCTTTGAACGATAATCAATTCAAAGAACCTACAGAATGAATACAATTATCACACCTTCTGGAAGGAGATTGTGGGCACCACCAGACAATTCCTTCCGACTAACCAAAACCATGACATTGGGTAATGGCTTAGTCAATTGCTCTGAGAGAGGATTAACTTATGTCAACCAACCTCTTGAGAGCTAGACGTTGTTCATGGTGCAACCAAAAAGAATCGACAATCAAGTCACTCTCACAGCTACGGTAAACAAAATGGATCTAGCAAGTAATAACAACACCGAAGACTAAAATGCAAGCAAAATTTAATACCTATTGCTTTTCTACACACGACACCATCATTATAATCCTTCTTAAACAAAGCCAGCAATCAAATGGGGCTAAGCCTGCACTTTCTGCATTCTGAAGTTAGTACACGTTCTTTGCCAAGCTGATTTTTACAAGTCAATATATATAATTTGAATATCAGGTCGAGTAAGTGAGCTAATCTTAAACTTCACATTCGGTAAAAGGGGCAGGCACTGTCTTTAGAAAAAGTAAGTTATGCCTGCATAAGGGGAAATTATCATATGCAGCTTCAGCCTAGTAAAAGGACTGCAATTTAGACTTTCACAACCCCCAGGTTACAAATGTCAAATGTGTGACGTCCCAACTTCAGACAGGCAATACATTAACTCGATACCACAATATCTAAACAGATCCGTTGACAAAATGTGAATTTACTTGCTTGTATATGTTGGGTTAAAATTCCTGAGAATCTTCAGGTGATTGAATCTATTCAGAGAAATGACCTAACAAGAAGATTACATAATTTGCCACCTTTAAAAAGATATAGAATATGTTTTAGAATAACATTAGCACGTACTCTATCTGTTTCTAAGTAAATATGAACTTTGCACTCCAAACTACAATTGTTTAGATATTTCTATAGTTCCATTGAGGTAATAATTTCCCGATAGACCAGTTATGCAACAGATATTTAGTAATTGAGACTTCAGGTAATTGAATCTACTAAAGGAGCTTATTTTTTTGACACTTTAAAGGAGCTTATTACTAAGAGGTGGTTTTTCTTTTTTCTTTCAATCAGGGTAATCTGATAGATTTGGCCATGAAAGCAACTCAAGGGCACCAATGATGATGAGAAATCATGTGATAAGCGTAAATTAATCCATGAAACCAAATAAAGAGGAAAAACCCTTTCCCTTGTGACAATAAGTACACCCTCCATCAGATCACTATGGGCAGATATAAACTTAGCTGCTGAATGCATCACAATATCTGAAAATAACAGACCATTTAAGGTAACCAGCACGGCAGCACCTTGAGAATTTTACCAGAACTAAAAGTATCTGCAGACCTGCTCCAAGGTCCAAACGATGGGATGGTATATGGGACATAATACTGTTATCTACCAGTACAAGAGACCCATGTGAGCCAGTCAACTCAGCAATTTTCTGAAAAATATCAGAGAGCAGAAAAGCATATAATTATCTATTGAAATTTAATAACAACATACCCAGTGAAATTCCATGAGTAGGATCTGGAGAGGGTAGAGTGTACCCAGACCTTACCCCTACCTCGTGGAGGTAGAGACGAAACGAAAATGAATGGAGATGCGGGGGATTGAACCCCGTGCCTCTCGCATGCAAAGCGAGTGCTCTACCATTTGAGCTACATCCCCTGTTATCTATTGAAAATTAATAGACTTCAACGTATCAGCAGCCACGAAAACACAAACAATATTTTCAAATCCAAGAGAAATGATGCTGCCAAATGAGCAATAACGAGTAGTCTCCCACATATACATATTCTTGTCTCCCAATTTGTACTCCAACATAATTATTACCAAATCCACTGAAGAACAACATATATGCTGTAGAAAGGAACAAAATAGCAAAATTTCCATTAGATATATCAAGCAGTGTCATTTCCTAAGTAAATAGCAAAGTGTTACAACGCTTGCTAAATATTCCATCTCAATCACATAACATACAACTATATGCACATAGTTTGGTACTTGTATTATAAGAATCGTTAAAGAAATTGAACATAATCTAAAGCAGAAGACTAGATGCACAAAGTATTTATTAAAAATAGAAAATCAATGAAAAAACAAAAATAGAAAAGAAAAGGGAGAAAAAGAAAAACAAGCCTAGGGCACGGGGTATGTAGGCCGGCGACAATTGAAACTGACGAGAGGCAAGGTTGAGAGCTAAGACAGAAAGACACCATCAACGATAAAGAAAAATCAAAACTAAAGGAGAAGAGATTAAGATAGAGTTAGGGAGAGATGATTCGGATTACCTGGTGAAAAAAGCCGGTGACAGAGAAGGCATTGCCAATGATTGGATATTAATCATCTTGAGAACTCCTCTTTTTGATGCCATACCAGAAGAGTCTTCCTCTTCTCCAAAATTCATAGAATCTCTGTGAGAAGGTTTTTCGTACCACTTGTTGATCAAACATCAGGCGTCATGTTGTTTCCACCATTTAAGCTTCCATGGGCTTTCTTCGCCAATGCTGACGAGTCATCCACCGCATCAAACAAGCTTACTTGTCTTTCCTCTTCCGTATCATTCCTATCCAGAATATCTAAAATCCACCACAAATCCGAAATCCCCAATGAAACCATTGCAGGTACACTGAAAAATCGGAAAACAGGTGATAGGATTTCAGGTTTACAAGGAGAGAAATGAAGAGAGGGAGGGAAGGTAAAATTAGGAAAAATTCACTTTCAATAATTTGCATTCAGTATCAACTTTTTGTGGCTATTCTCTTCAATAACCAGTGAAAAGGTCTTTATTCCCAGCTAATCTCCAAATGCCGCTAATAGTTGAACAAAAGGAAAGTTACCGATATTCAATTAATTGCCACTAAAGGGCGTTTCTTCCGGTAGTGATAACAGATGGTATCGTGGTATCCTGTTTTGGAAATGGATAACCACTTTTTTTATCTCCGAGTTTGCAGTAGGCCAAGTTATAATTACCACCATAGATGGCAACAACCATAGAGTTAACTTTGCTTGAAGATAGGACAACTTTGAATAAAAGACGAGCGTTGACCAGATCCGCCGAAAGGAATAAAGTCACATCTTGGGATTCAAGCGCATTTTCAGTTTCAAGCTTCTTTGCACAATATTTCTCACATCAGGGAACTTATACCTCGGTGGAAGGGTGATTTGACCCCTAGTGATTGGGTTAAACAGATTGTAGGTGTCTTTAATAGAAAGTAGAAACTAACCCTCCGTAGGACGAACCGCGAAACTCCTTACCAAGGACCTTTGGGACCTCAAGGTAGTGAACTACTCTTTTTTCATGTATGCTAATAAGATGCTTCTCAAGTTTTTGCGTTTGTATTATTGTCACGAGGCAGCAACAACCATGGCTGAACTCCCTTAATACTCGAAATAGTAGGTAACACTGACCTCCATGAATTACAAACACATGTGAACTGGACTGGATCAGTGTATGTAGCAAGAGAATGAGCTATTAACCTCAACAAATCCTGTGGAAGCTCCGACCAACCAGCCATTTATAACCTGATACATAAATAGGGAATGTGATATGTAATATTAGAGCAAAACAATAACCATACAACTTTCACAGTATCACACAGACTTAGTATAATAGCCAAAAGAGATAAATCACTAAGTACACATGTTGTTTGTTACAAATCAAGAACTAATGTATCTATCTTAATCTTGTTTTAGAACATCAAGATATAGCTTTAGAGAAGTAGTTAATTCTAAGAAAATATTGCTACATGTAGTAAATGTTCCTTTTACACCACCAATTATTCACCAAACTTACAAGGTTGATTCTAGCTCATTGAAGTGCAACACCAAATCATAGAAGTAAACATAAACAATGGAGGAAATAGGAATTCATACAAGAAGATTATACATAAAGTGACAACTTCTACTAATGTCTTGACTATATAAGGAAATAATGCATTTCTTAAAATATAAATTGTAACTTTGTGAAATGTATAGGAATTTATTAGCTTATAAGAAATTTTTTGTTGAACACTTGAAATTAATTTTAGGTTGAAATAAAAAGGCGATGATATGAAATGAAGATTTAATAAATTACTATGTCACTACACAGTAATTTGTACATATATCTATCTACCTTGTTGGTTCAGATTTTTCCACCATACGTTTGTTCTCTTTTTTTGCAGTTTGTGATAGTTTTATATTCCATTTTAAACTTAATATTTCTAAATCAACTAATTTTGTATCAATAGAAAGAATTATTTGAATGAATTAATCCTTAAAATAAATATATAGCTCTGCATATAAAAAGTTCAAAGAGTAAATTTAGAAAAAAAATCATAAATTTTATTTAGATTTTTTATAATATCTTATTAAGCTTTGGCTTTAGGACATTAATTTTATTGAGCCACCCCTGCTGCAATACGGGGATTAGTTAGGTAGTTACCTATAGATTAGTTAGTGCATCTTCTACCGTGCATAAATAATACATAAATTTCCTCATAACTTCTTCATGTATTAGTTATGAAGGATTGCAACAAGTAACTAAACACCGTACTCGGTGTGCTAAATTTTGTACATACAAATAAAATGCTCCCAAACATTGTGCTAATTATGCTTGTTTAAATACATGAATAATTTCACTTTCTAACCAACATCCAAATGACCCCTTAGTTTGTGATTTTCTGATGGCACAAGATCAACCCAGTAAATGATCATTTTGGTGAGAGTTGTGATTGACAATAAAAATATGTTAGCTATAGAGAGCCCATATATCTTTATTTACCACTCACATATTTTATGTCCGAAAAGCGACTTAACAAGAAGTTGAACAGCTGCAGGTATTAATGTATTGGTTGTAGTAGTATCTTCATATATTTCCACTAGGAAAAATTCATTAGTTTCTTCTACCTTTCCTTACCCCTTTATATTCATCGCATGAAGAATGTTTTTAGGTATGACTTGTTTGTGAAGCACACACTTATCATAATTCATTTGGTAAGACAACAAAAACTATGTCTCAGTCTCAAATTAATTTGCATATTGCTCCCCATTTTTGCCCCCTTCATTTTCTCTACAATGCCCGTAGCGATATAAGTTACTACTACCAGACCCCTCTCTCAAAGCTAGAACAGGGACTACCTTGTAATTGTAAAGAGGGAAATAAGAAAAACAAAAAAATTTGATAACCCAAAGGAGTTCTGTGAGCTTTAATAGTAACATGATTGCATTGTCTCACAATAGTTAACAAAATACGATAAACTAAAGTTAGATAGTAGTTGATCAACAGTAACAATTTCACCTTGTACATAGCAGTTATAATACGACAAGTTTTAGCAATAAGCAGCAAAACTTACACTAGATGTGTAGCTGCAAATTATAATACATTCTTGAACATCCAAAATAACTTAAGTCATACACCTGCGCTTCTGGGCAAGATTCGCAAATTTTATGAGCATCAGTAGATGTAACTGGATTTGATGGATCAGTGGATGCCTGTCAAGGAAATGTGGCGGTAAATAAATGGGCGAAAGCTATCTCCAGAATTAATGGGACATACGGGTTAAAGAGTAATAGTAAGGGATGAGGGATAAAGAGGATATCGTTCATCCAATATTTATTTAGATACCAGTTAAACAGTAATTAGTGCAACAATGAGAAGATTGATTCTACTTTGGAATTTCCTTCATCCAATAATCATTTAAATAGTGGTCATCTTCCTCATATCCTATTATGAAGGGTGTTTTTTTGAACTTTAAAGTGTCAGTTTCCATGGATTTACTCAAATTACAGATCAGAAATTCCAGCCTAAACTTCTCATGTTCATAGGGAGTTAAACATGCAAAATTGTTGACAAGACACATGCAAACAGCCAAAAACTTTACATAATAAATAGTTTACCAAATAGTGGAGTGAAATATTCACGTACTTGTTCTAAACTCAGCAAATATGATAAACAAGATTATAGTAAGTACATTTACATAAATATTTGCTAGCCTGCTACTATCTAATTACTGTGACTTAACCAGTCCGATAAGGTAGGACAGGTTAACATAACAGAGAAATTACAAGAAAACAAAATAATGATATAACACAAGTATGAATATCATAACTTCAAACAAAAGTTAGCTGGCAATAATAGAGCGGTTTCTTATCAACACATCATTTATTGTAAGCACTAAACAGAAAATACTGAAAAGGACCCAACAATCTCATCTCAGGTCACACAACATTAAGGGTCCAGAACAACAGTAAACAATCTACTACTTCACCAAAAAAAATAAATCTACTTCTTGCATTTATTTGTTTCTCCATCAGTATATTCGTCATCGTCTCTTCCTAATCTTAACGTCATCATAAAAATGTTCATTCACCTAAGAGGTTTCCAAGTAATTCAAGATTCCAATGAGACATCAGAAAGTTCCTGATTATCTTCAAAAAAGAAAATTAATCTACTTATCTATAAAACACCAAGGAAAATTATATTTCTTTATGAATCCTTCAGCCATCTGTTCCTTTTGATTATTATTATTCACTATTATCCCCCATGAAGCTTTTAGCCAGACCAAAATTATGGTATAAAATTTGGATTTTATTATACATATTGCCAGCAAGTTCAAGTTTCTTTCAGAATGATATTAGAGAAAAAAAATTGTAATGGAGGAGGAATGTTGTACAGATATTATATAGGATCAAATGAAAGTATCTCAGGTTGGCTAATCTTTTTGGATGAGAAAGACCGGCTAGAGTTGGCAGAAATCAACGTCGTCTACAAAGATTTCAGTAGTTTGGTTTCTGGCGATTTCAATTTCAGTTCCAGCAGTTCTTTGGGTAATGAAGGATTAGGTAGAGGGACATTGGCAAGAACGTGTTCAGCTACTACAACCCCCTCCTTCAGTTTCTATCATGTTTAATGCTATTTTTGGACCGATTTTCGTTATTCAACTTGCATAAATGTTTAAGAGAAACACTGAGAAAAGAGAGCAATAGTGCTCCAAAGAAAGAGTACAAGCAGAAAATGTTAGAAAACAACACCATTGTCTCTGCTAGTGAGTCCAGATGAGAGTATTCAATAACATCTCCCGCAATACCATCATCGACTTTTTAAGTCTTTGGCCAAAAAAAGTGAGATTCAAAAAAGTAATTTAAACTCTAGCCGAATCGATCGAGAAAGGAAGAAATGGAAGTGCTTACAAGATGAAAATTGATGTAACATCGGTCACTAGGAATAAGGGTTAGCACTTTTAAATGATGACTTCAAGAAGATGATACATCAAAATGAAGAATCTCAAAAATTGCCTTGTAGCTTCTATTGTTTCAGGTAAGAGAGGCTAACGACAGTACTAGTAAATGCAGAATGACAGTCTGTTCAAGCATCTCTGACATATATGTATTCTTCCTGTGTGAAACTCATTTTAAAATTGGTGTAGAATCCAATCGACTTCCGGGGTAAAACAAGAAGATATAGAATAACAAAAAGAGTAAATATAAAAATATGACTCACTCATCATGGATTTGGTGTGACCCAGATTGGAGGACAAACACGACTGACAGAGATACCATCATAAAGCGGCTCGATACTTCCATCTGCTAAGTTGAACACCCCCATGTCCAAACCGCATCCTTTTTTAAAGAAGAGGTATGCACCAATCCAGTTATCTGTAAAATAAATACAGTTGGGCTTGATTCCTGGAAATTGAGAAGCTTGGATTGAAAGAGAAGCATTAGCACCCAAGAAAAAAGCTTGGTCTCCTAAATCCATGATTGGTATAGCCTTGCAGCTAGATAAATCGATTCGGAAAACTAGAAATTTTCTTGTCCTGTGCGTGCAAATCTTCTCCTCCTCATCATCTCCACCTGGGATGTGCGTCGGTGGAATACTCTCACGATCCCCTTTGACATACCGTGTATCAACAATCTGTTGCGCAACTACAAATAATGATCCTAGTGATTCTAGGATGTAATTCTTACCGTCAGTCCATGGTGCAAGATGTGCTACACTATAAACTTTAGTGAGTTGAGTGCCAACAACATCACAAACTAGGACACAACGGCCAAAAGTGACAGCATAAAAGTGACCACTGAAATATACCACATCACTAATATGTCCAATGTGGGTGGGGATCCAAATCCTGGTCCACAACAAATCTCCTGGTCTCCATAAACTGAGGCGCTCGAATCTTCCCTCAATGACCATGAGAGCATAGTCCGACGTATGAGAAGGATTAGCTGACAGAACTGCTTTACGGATATAGGTCCATAGATCGTGAGTGTAGTTGTGTTCATAAGAATCAGTTGTGTTTTGATGTGGCAATTCAATTCTAACACCAGAGAAGGGTTGTAACAAACTAATCTCACCCTCATCCTTTCCAACTGTAACAAGCCATCCCTTTGACTCCACACATCTCTTCTCACTCGCTCCCGGGATCCTCTTTTTCAAAATCATCCCATTGTACAGACTGAAGAATTTTCTATATGTTCTATCATCCTCTTCCTCAGCTAACATTAGCCAGGGAGCCCTAGGCAAATTACTACTAAAATTATCCCTAGTGGCTACAGTGTACCACGATGTGCAAACAGTTCGAAAATTAAGGTAGTCCTCGATCAGATTTATACGTTTAGCAATTAAAACCAACAATTCAGGTTGAAGTTCCGACCAATCAACCATTGTTCTCATTTTCAATCCCTATCTAACAAAAGTATTTAACAAAATTGGGCAAATGATCCGAAAATACCTAATTTATGCGAATCAAACTCCCGATGAACATTGATATGATGGAGAATGAAGATGCACACCGAAAATTCTTCGATCTACCAATTTTTTCAGCGGTGACGGCGATGAAATGGGCGGAGCTCTCCACGAACACTGATAAGAAGCACCACTGTGAAAGATGTGTTTGGCTCAAACAATTTTTTAGACTTTGTTTTTAGTTAGAGTAAATTGTTTATGAAATGATCAAAATGGTCCTCTACTTATGAAAATGATAAAAAATGGTCCTATATTTAACATAAATGACTATAACTATTAACTTGGACCTTATTAATAATTTGTACCTATAAAATTCATGTATTTATCATTCGTAATAAATATTGAAGGTGTTGGATCAAATAAAAAAAAAAAAGGGTTAGACGATGGTATTGATGAATACAATTTGGGGTATATATAATGATATAACCAACAAAAACAATATGGAAGATTGTATTTATTCGTTTTAATTTATTTGTTATATTGTGTCAAATAGTTTTTGTTTGTATCACTTGTATTCATTCGCTTTAATGATTGTATCAATGCATACAATCTACAATCTTGATAGATATAATCACGATCATTTGTATGATAATTTTATTTGATATAATGAAATATTAAATGGAGTATATATAATGATACAAATAAAAGAAATATTGTATAATCAATATAAAAATATAGTGATTGTCAAAAAATCATATATTACAAAAGTACAATCAAAATATAACAAAGATCTGGGGAAATGTGAGGTATAAAATCAAGGCAAAATACATAGATTTGCCGAAAAAACTCTTCTTTCAAAAAATAAAAACAATAAAAAAAATTCCAATAGATGAGCGAGATGGGAGAGAAGGTAACATATAGTCTAGACCTTACATTACATGTGTTGTGGGGTTGGTAAGTCAATATATGCATGCTTCTTGTCAAGCACAACTACATGTAGTATATAGGATCTTGGGGTACCTCAAAGATTATCTTGGCGAAGGTATGATCTATACTAATTAAGGCCATGTTGATTGGGATGGGTCAGAAGGAGGATAAGAGATCAACTTCAGAATGAGCAAAGATCACTGAGAAAGCATCTTGTCAAAGATTAAAGAGTTCGATACCTGACTGAAGCAAAGTTCGTATTCTTCTTAAACCTCTTATTCTTAGCATGACAGATATTGAATAAAAGGACGAACGATGGGGTATTGATTTGAGGGAAGCATAAAGGAAGACACCGAAATGAGATGATAGAACTGCTTGATGTTGTATACTAAATACAACAAGCCCAATTCACATCATTATGCTCAATAAGAAGAATGAGGGAAGCTAAAATCCGAAATAGGAAGTTATAAATTGTAATTTTATAAAAGTGTAGTCATAAATTGTTAGTACAATGTATATGTTAGTCATAGCAGGTAGAATTAATCAACTCAGTCATTTATATGTACTGCGTAATTGACCGTCCTCATCCTCAATGTATGGAAATAAATATTAATTTCTTTTTAATAAGTCCGTCAAGTAAAAAATTAACAAATAAATCAAAATGGAGGGAGTAAATCTTTTTGTTTATTGATTTTGATTAAAAATATTTATACATATTAATTAATTTTTTTAATACAAAACGTTTGAGTGAAAGCCACCAAATCATTAGGCTGCATTTGACCATAATTTTTCAAATATTTTTGGCAATTTATTTTTCGAAGAAGTTTACCATGCGTTTTTTGGCTATAGATTTTAAAAGAAATATTTGAATTAATATGATAACGAACATAATTAATATGAATTTGAAAAAATAGGAAGAAAACAAAAGGAAAATATACAAAAAAAAAAAAAAAAAAAAAAAAAAAAACTACTACTATAATTTGTAATTGGAAACTTTGAGAGTAAGTGCACAAAAATTGTATATAATGTATATACCGTATAAATTTTGAACAAGAAATTAGGGATGAAATTTAGTCCCAAACTAGGTGTTTTTATAAAATATAAAATCTTGTGATAATTTTTAAATTTTTAAAATTCCCATATAAGTACTAGAATTTGGCTCGAATTCAAAAATTTTGTTTTTAGAACTTGAGAGCTTCAATTTTTCCGGATACATTACTTGACGCTGCACTCGAAAAAATCTGCTCCCATGGCGATTCCGGTCTTCATCTCTCGAAGCTATGGCCGAAGTTACCGTTGATGGATCTAAGGAGGTGTTCTTTATGTAAAATGTTAATTTTTTTATATTTGATCAGTTAAAATCTTTGCAATATATTAGTTTTTTTTCCTTTTAAAATGAGGAAATGATTTCTATAATAGACGTATGAAAAAAAAAGTTACACACGATATTCTACATTGATAATGTCTTCCTCAATTTTCAACCACACCTCATCTTTACCCCATAATATGGAGCTCCCCCCGTCTTCATCCCCTCCACCACACGCATCCCTACCCTTTACCTTCACCACTTATAATATTTGTTTAAATTATATAAAAATACTTTTAGGATAATAATTTTTGTTAACCTATCAAAAACAAGAATATAAGTAAGAAACATATTTATTTTCGTAGAAATTATTTCTAAAATAATATTTTTAATCTTAACAAACACATCATAAGTAAGTATTAATCATATACTCATAATTGCATACTAAAAGTTGAGGATGCTCTCGATCCATGAATATATGATAATTGTCAAATAATAAATTATTATACTCATGAAAACATTATAAGAGTAGATACTTAAAGCGACATTTTATATACATATAGAGTATTACTATTTATATATTACCGAAATATGATTCATTTTTTTCAATAGTCATCAATGTTCTTATTTTACTTTTTTTACCAAAAACATATTACGAAATAATTTTATTAATTATATTTTAAAATTTTAAATTTCAAATAAAAATATTTTTGTTTACTATTTTTTTTCTAAATTTTTAGTACGTTATATAACTATTTAATAATAGAATAATATTAAAACAAATGACAAATCTTTATTAAAAAGGAAAAATGACCAATCAGTAAAGTGAAAAGGAAGAAAGAGTATATGATATGTGTTTATAAATAAAATTTTATTATTTAATTATGATTAACTAATATACATATTACTTCAATAATTTATTTAATTATAATTTATCTCGACTCTCACTTTTAATAATCCTTCATCAAATTCAACTGAAAAATATATAAAGTTAATTAAAGTAGGGTAATTTACACACTTTAAAATATTAATTTGGGTATAAAACAAATAATTATCTTTCACCAAATTAAAATGAAAATGGAAAATATATGGGGAAATTAGAGCACAATTGACAAGTGTTATGTCAATGTGTCAGTTTGGAAAGTTTAATGGCCCCACAATACGTAATGACATTTCACCTTAGGGCATCATTTGTAATTTAAGAGAAAAATGTGACTTCTTTTTAGAGTTATTGATAAGGTCTAAATAAATAAGCATGAGGGATAACCCTTTTAAGCAAGCAAATCTTGCAAAGTGTTCTAAAGATCATAATACCCTCAAATTTTTTTTAAATGACTTAAAACTAACATGTTGAAACTCTCTCAAACTCTCTCTTCTAATATATAGAAATATATATATATATATATATTACTATATATAATGAGAATATCTACTTACTTAGCACATGACAAGTGTGGAATGATATGTGCTTCATAGTGTTGTACATTCTTCTTTTATGGTTATACCTTTAAAATTTATATTATTGGACAATTTAACATCATTAATTACGTACTACTTTATTAGCAAAAAGTTTGACCTTATTTGGGCCCATTTATTATTTATATGTTTTCAATTTTCAATATATGTTGTCTATTTAATTCTTTTTTCCAACGTTTTATTTTAAACTTCTTGAAATTTAATTACTTATTTCTTACTCTCTCTATGCACTTTTAATTGTTATGATTTCCTTTTTAGAGTCAAACTATAAGAATTTTAACTAATATTTTACAATGTGTTTTTTCATCATATTCATAGGCAAAAAATTACAATTTATAGTACTTTTTGTATAGATTTTGCATATTTAATTTTTTTTTTTTTAAATATCGAATTAATACAATCTGATTTAACTTTCAAAATTAGTCAAATGGACTTTCAAAAAGCGCAACATGACAAATTCAAGTGGACGGAGAGAGTATATTTTAGCTACAAAATATATTAGAGGTACAACTTTTTAAAAAATTTAAATTTTTATTGCGTTGACTCTTGAAATCTTATCTTTGTCATATGAATTTGAACAAATTATATATTATTAAAAGTTACATAAAAGATGCTATAAATCACAATAATTAGCAATTAAAAATATTTTTAAATCATATAAGAAATTTGGTTGACTAATTGGAATAGAATAAGTAACATGTACTATTTGAAAATAACGTCAAAATTTCTAGAATTCACAATAAATTAACAACTGAAAATATTTATGATTATTCATGTGAATTGAAACATGAGTAACCTATATTATTCAAAACTAACGCAAAAATACTATAAATCACAACAATTTAATAACTTCAAATATATTTTTAAGAAAACATATAAAAAAATCGACTGATCTTCAAATTCCATTTATATCACATAAATTTATAAAAAAAATAAATTTATTGGGGCCGTGCTGGCACGGGCACCAAATATCTATATATATGTGTCACAAATGGAAAAGTCTCAATCAAGGAAGCAACATATATCATTTACAAATGACTTAAAAAGCATTAAAAGTTACAATAATTACCAATTTAAAATATTTAAAAGTTATATAATACAATACGTTGACTCTCATAATTCTATCAGGCTCACATATATTGGAACAGAAAAAATAACACATATCATTTTAAAATTACCAAAAAAGTATTATAAATAATAATAATTAACAACTTAAAATATCTAAAAGACATTTTAAAAGGGTTAATTTTGTAATTTTATCCACATCACATAAATTAGGACAAAGTGACCAGTAATGTACGTTATTTGAAAGTTACATAAAAATATCATAAATCACAATAATTAATAACTTAAAACATTTTTTTAAAAAAAATGAAAATTTGGATGACTCTCCAAATTTCATTTGTGTCACATAAATTGAGACAACAAAAATAACATATATTGGGTCTATTTTAATTTATTTGTCTTATTTTTATTTTTTTTTATATTTAAAAATTGCGTAAAAATACTATAAATCATGATAATTGACAATATAAAATATGTTTTGAAAAAAATACAAAAACTTCCACTGATTCTTGAAGTGAATCTATCGTAAAAATACTATAAATCATGATAATTGACAACATAAAATATTTCAAAAATGTTGTATGTGGGTAGTCTTATTATGTCTTAAATAGCGTCAAAGAAAGTACATGTTTGTGATAAAAAAAACTTATTCCTTTATCCACGCAAACAATCGCTTCAAAAACTCGGTTATTAGCCCCAAAACATAACATTTATATTATTGGGCCCGTGCTATGCGCGAGCCACATTATCTAGTATATATATAAAGGGTTAGATAATTAATATTTTTTTCTATAAATTAAACAAGTAATTGATCATAAATTTTAAATAAGATTTTAAAGATTTATTTTTAATATTTGTTTGACCAAGAATTTAAGCATATTTTGGATATTAAATCTTGACCAAAAAATATAAGTAGATTTTAAAAATCAAATATATTTTCAAGTTCTCAAAAATTAGCTAGGCTAAAGTTTTGATTTTTGATACTTTCACTCATTGTTTTTTTTCTTAGTAAAATACACTTCCAAATGTAACTTTAAATTTTCAAATTTTAACTTTTAACTAGTAAAATTACACGCGCTTCGCGTGGAAATTTAATATCACGGAATTTATAGAATAATACTTAAAACCTACCAGTCATTAAAACTAAAACACTATATTGTCTTACATACAAGCTTACGTAGTAACAAATATTAATAATATAAAGGAAAATGAAAATTATTACATCTTATCATTTATCCTTAATAACATAAGCATAAATTAATGACTGTAAAAATACATATCAGGATCTGTAACATAAGCAATGAGTGTTAGTGAGCCACTCAACAGGATTGTGAAGAAGAAGAAGAGTAGGTTCAGAATTTTCGTTATTTTAAAATAAGAGGAAATCCCTCTATTTATAGACAAAGGAAAATGAAAATTATTACATCTTATCATTTATCCTTAATAACATAAGCATAAATTAATGACTGTAAGCCACTCAACCGAAGCAAAGTACACAAATATTTAATTGTGAAGAAGAAGAGTAGGTTCAGAATTTTCGTTGTTTTAAAATGAGAGAAAATTCCTCTATTTATAGACAACAAAGGGTAGTGTGAACAAATGTTTATTGTGTCTTATCGAAAATGTTACAACCCTTCGGAAAGGTCACAACTTTTCATAAAAATCGCAACTCTTCATTAAAGTCGCAACTCTTCATAAAAGTCACAATGTTTCATAAAAGTCACAATGTTTCATAAAAGTCACAACTTTTCATAAAAGTCGCAACTTTTCATAAAAGTCGCAACTTTTCACGAAAGAGGAAAACTAGTTTTGGAAATAAATAAATTAAAAGTGAATTCTTGTTTGTGATGACGCCACGTAGGCGGGCCTAAGGTTTTCTTTTATATGTAAATATGATATATGATTCTATGGTTAAAACAAAAGTTCAGGATTATTTCGATTCCAAGTTATATATGAAAGACTAAAATAACCATTTTAATACATTAAATATTATATTGACTACATAATATAAATATTGGACTAAAATAATCACACACTCATATGTTAGGGACTATTTTGATCATTTTCTCAGCAATTTTGTCTATTTATAGTGAAGTCCAAATTAGAGATTGAGTTTTACCAAACACAACTCTGACAGTGTGCTGCTTCTCTGTGTTCACACATCTCCGGCTGAAGCATCACTGTCCTCCGTGTTCGCCGGAAGCTCGATTCACTAAATTTAGGTATTTTCCTACCATTTATCCGTATCGTTCCGTTAGTTAAGGCTTAAAACTGAGAAAAATGTGTGATTGGTCCGAGCTTGACCGTGATCTTCTGGTTCTAGTTGTTAAGCGTGTTAATTTGATTGAAGATTATCTTAGTTTTGGTACTGTCTGCAAATCCTGGCACTCTGTGGCCACAAAGGATAATTTTAATAGCGATTTGCCTAGGGTTCCATGGCTAATGCTAGCCGAGGAAGAGGATGATGACACATGTAGGAAATTCTTCAGTCTAGAAAATGGGATGATTCTGAAAAAGAGTATCCCTGGAGCTAGGGGAAAAAGGTGTGTTGAGTCAATGGGATGGCTTGTAACAGCCCCAATAGGCCAGAATGAATTCACTCTGTTGCATCCATTTTCTGGTGTTGAAATCCAGCTGCCAGATCAAATTCTATACCCAAAGCAACATCCGAGAAATAATGAATATTTTGGACCCGTCACTTTCCCACCAGCGATCCCTATCCATAAAGCAGTTTTGTCAGCTAATCCTTCTCATACATCTGACTACATTCTAATGGTCATTCAGGGAGACTTCAGTTTCCTCAATCTATGGAGACCAGGTGATTTGTCATGGACCAGACTATCGGCCTACAATGGACAAATTCTTGATGTAGTATATTTCAATGGCAAATTTTATGCAGTCGATTATAAGGGTTGTATCTATGTTTGTGATGTCTCTGGCTCTGAAATCGGTGAAAATCATCCCATAGCGCAGCTAAATCAACGTATTGATGGTATTTATTACATCCTAGAATCACTAGGATCGTTATTTGTAGTTGTGCAACAATTTGTTGGTTTATCGTACAAGTACGTCTCAGATGAGGGGATTCCACTGTCTCCCATCCTAGGTGAAAATGATGAAGAGGAGACTGTCTCCAACACTTACAGGACAAAAAAATTTCTAGTTTACAAGATTGATTTAGATGCTTGCGAAGCTACGCCAACGAAGGATTTAGGGAACAGAGCTTTTTTCCTGGGTCATAATTCTTCTATTTCGGTTCAAGCTTCTCAATTTCCAGGAATCAAGCCCAATCATATTTATTTTACAGATAATTGTTTGTGTTTATACCTCCATCTTCGAGGAGGATGCGGCTTGGACATGGGGGTGTTCAACTTAGCAGATGAAAGTATCCAGCCACATTATGATGGTGTTTCCCTCAGTCGTGTTTGTCCTCCAATTTGGGTCACACCAAATCCGTGTTGAGTGAGTCACTTTTCTATATTTACTTTTTTTGTATTCTATATATTCTTGTTTACCCCTGAAGTTGATTGGATTTTTTTATGGAGTATTTACAACATGTCATTTACCTTGAGACTTAGCTGATGCATCTTTGATTTTTACGTATAATTGAACATAGGGACTCCCATTATGTGTGATACTACCTTGCTTCAAGACATGTTCTTTAGGAATGCACTACTACTTCACTAAATCAGAATCGTCTTTGTTCTCAAGTTTCTTAGTGGAAACAGTTCATGATCTAATAATATTGAGGTGCAGTCACTGCACCTCAATATTATTAGATCATGAAGTTCCACTAAGAAACTTGAGGGCTGTAATTCTGTTATGCTTCAATAAAATTTGTTTTGAAGTTGTTTCGTAAGAGTTAAAATAATTTTCACACATAATAAATGTATGTTTGAAATTACTGTTATTCTGCATGTACTTGTATAATCGTTAGCCTTTCTTTTCTGAAACAATAGAATCAACAAGGAAATATTTGAGATTCTTCATTTTGATGTATCCTCTTCTTGAAGTCATACCTTGAAAGTGCCGTACCCTTATTCCTAGTGATCGATGTTACATCAACTTTCACCTTGTAAGCACCACTTCCATGACTTCCTTTCTTGACCAATTCAGCTGGAGCTTAAAGTACATTTTCGAATCTCACTTTTTTTGGCCAAGAGGACTTGAAAAAATAAATGAGAGCATCGCACTTTCACATCATTGAGTACCCTCACATTCTATGACACAATACTGACCTTCATCAATCATGATAGATACATCCCTTCCCCTCTTCTAGTGCCAATACTGATGAATTTTCTACCTGGTTCTAGGCTCTTTAATTCTTTTGCACCGTTGACTTTTGTAGTCATAGGTACCATTGCGTTGGATTCTTGAATTTTGTTCTGCCTCTTCACATCAATTCTAAACTAATAGTTCCATGCTATTTTCTCCCAACTTTGAAAGTAGATCCCAAATTCCTCACTGAATCTAATGCAGTAATATTTTTGTTGAACCCATACTGTAATCGGAATACCAGGTACTGAATCCACTATCCACTGTCTCAACATGGTCAGCTATCTCGAGAGGGGTAACATCCCCGACATGTTACTCCCTTACTTCCTTCTTTTTTTCCTCTTGATATATCCATTGTGTATGAACCAACCTATTTGACATATCAGTGTGGGGGATAATCGACATAGCCTCCTCGCCTGTGGTGGTTGGAGTTTGGTGATCTTTTTAGAAATTACTCTCCCGACCATATCTGTGAAGTAGAGGGAATGAGAATTGCAAACTTCCAGTCTCCTGTTTTGTTCTAGTAAGTATCGATTGTTCTAGTTAAAACTTTTGAAGAGCCCACGTGCCCCTCTTTAATTCCTGATCCATACATCCCTATCACCACAGATGTGATGTCCTTTGTTGCCCAATGGTTCAAAGTGTGATCCTCGTCTGCTCCTACAGAGTACCTTAATGGCACAAAAATCTAGGAGAACTATTCTTGGGATTTCAATCTTGTCATTACCTTCGCCTTTCCGTCTTGTCACAATCTTCCACTCATTAATAAATTGAACAACATGCTTAATAGAGAGTCCTTAAGGAGTTCATAGGAAAATAGCAGCACTTTTGTATTTCTGATTGTAAGTATTACTGGAATACATCCTGAGTATTCCTGTGTTTATAATACAAGTTACCTTTTCAAAAAAAATAAATAAAATAACGGAACTTTCTGATGTCTCATTGGATTACTTGGAAGCCTCTTAGGAGGATCAACATTTCTACGATGATGTCAAGATTAGGAAGAGTAGACGACGAATATACTATGGAGAAACAATTAAATGCAAGAAGTAGATTGTTTACAGTTATTTTGGACCCTTAATGTTTTGTGACCTGAGACGAATTATTTGGTCCTTTTTCTGCTTAGTGCCCACGGTAAATGTTGTGCTGTTAAAAAAACCACTCTATTAATGCAGATAACTTATGTTTGAAGTGACGATATCAATACTTGTATAGTGATATGGTTATATCATTATTTTTATTCTTGTAATTTCTCTGTTATGTTAACATATCCTACCTTATTGAACTGGTAAAGTTACAGTAATTAGAAAAAAACAGGCTAGCAAATATTTATGTAAACGTACTAACTATAAATCTTGTTTATCATATTTGTTAAGTTTAGAACAAGTACATGAATTGTTCCCTCCACTATTTGGTTAACTATGCTAAAGATTTTGGCTGTTTGCATGTGTCTTATCAACATTTTTGCATGTTTAACTCCCGATGAACATGAGAAGTTTGTACACCTGAATTTTTGATCTGTAATTTGAGTAATTCCATGAATCAGAAACCTTAAAAATACACTCTTCAGAATAGGGTATGTGGAAGATATTACTCTTTTAACTGCTATGTCCCATTTATTCTGGATATAGCTTTGGCTTTTTATTTACCGTCGCACTTTCTTGACAGGCATGTGTTGATCCATCAAATCTAGTTACATCTGTTGATATTCATAAGATTTTGAGAATCTTGCCGAGAAGCGCAAGACTATCACTCAAGTTTTTTTGGATGTTCGAGAATGTAACGTAATTTCAGCTGCACATCTAGTGTAAGTTAGTTTTGTTGCTTATCGCTAAAACATGTCCTATTTTAACCTCTCTTATGTACAAGGGGAATTGTTACTGTTGCTCAATTACCATCTAACTTTATCTTATCATAATGTGTTAGATATTGTGAGGCAATGCAATCATTTTACTGTTAATACTTAAAGAACTCCTTTTAGTTATGAAAAGTATCTGTTGGATCAAATTTCAGTTCCGCTTTACAATTACAAGATCCTTCTTTTAGCTTTGTGAAAGAGGGTTTCTTGTAGCAACTTGTATCACTAACGTGCATTGTTCAAGGTAGTTATAGTGAAGGGGGCATAAATAGAGCTATATGTATATTAGTTTGAGACTGAGACGTAACTTTTGTTGTCTTACCAAATGAATAATGATAAGCATGTGTTTCACAAACAAGTCATACCTACCACTAGAGTTGTCAAAAAGGGTCGACCCAATCCTCGCGGGCCAAGGGAATTTGGTGGGCTAGGATGGGGCGACCCTTCATTTGGAAGCGCCTGAAAATGCTCAATCCAACCCAACCCTAGAAGTGTCGATGGTTGGGGCGGGCTAGCCCTTTTTTAAGCTTTTTTTTCTTTTTAAATTTAAAATTCTATAACATCAAGAAAATGAGAAGATTTTCAAATCAAATATGACAAATAATAATGTTGTTTTAATAACACTAGCAAAAAAGCTAGTGTAATTAGCATGTACCTAGGATTCTAGATACGCAAGATACGTGTATCTGGTGTGATGCATTCTAGATACGCGAGCGAGCTAAGAGTGCGGCGAGTGAGATGGAAGGGAGGTGAGGGCGCTACGGGATTTGTCTATGTTTCCTAGATATACCTGAATCCACTTGAATAGAGTATATTTAGAACAAATTAACCTAATTTTGAGTCCATGTATCTGGACGTACCAAAATCTGGTAAGATTCGTAATATTACAATGTAACATGCATTTAAGTAATTAGCTCATATACTAGTGAGTTTGTCGTAAATTACCCTTAAATAAATAGTTTTGGCCCATGGACCGACCCAGTCAAGCCTCAAGGACCAAGGGCTTATATGAGTTTGGTTTATAAGCCCTAGTTTTAAATGGGCTTGAAAAATCCCATCCCATCCCAACCCTACCCCAATAACAAGTTTGGTTGGGCCGGCTCTACCTACCAATAATCCTCATGCAATGTATATATAGGGGGAAGGAAAAAGTAAAAGAAACTAAGAAATTTTTCGTAGTGGAAATATACAACATACTCCTACAACCAATACATTAATATTTGCAATTGTTTCAACTTCTTGGTGCATGTAAAATATGTGATTGATGAATTAAGATGAAAGGACTCTCTATAGCTAACATATTTTTACTGTCAAATCGTAACTCACTAAAATGGTCATTTTCTGTGTTGATGTTGTGTGCCATCAGAAAATCACAAACTAAGGGGTTATTTGGTTGCTAGTTAGCAAGATAAATTATTCATGTATTAAACCAACATAATTAGTATTATATTTGGTATCATTTTGTTTGTTAATGTATAAAATTCTACACCAAGTATAGTATTAGTTACATGTTTGCAATTCCGCATAAACAATCCCACATAGCTGATATATGAAGTTCGAACGAATTTTATGATACCTATCAAAAGAAAAGAAAGAAATTTATGTTATTATTTATGCAGGGTAGAAGATCAAATAACTATATATATGGATAACTAAATCGTGCCTAAATTTACTCTCTTAACTTTTTTAGATGTAGAGCTATAAATTTATTCTTTAAGGATTAATTCAATCAAACATTTCTTTTAATGGATATATAAAATAATTGATTCAAAAAATTAAGTTTAAAACGGAATATAGAACTATCATAAATAGGAAAAGGAAAATAAATTAACGGGAAACAAGAAAAATCATAACCAACAAGATAGTAGATGTACTAATTAATGAGAAATAGAGACTTAACCTAATTTAATCACTCATTTGAACGACAAACTAAAAATGAAACCTTTTATATATGATAATTAGGAAAAATATATATAATATAGAATTAAATACTCACTCTGTCCCTAATTAGTTGTCCACTTTTGAATTGACACACCTATTAAGAAAGCAATTATTGACATAGTGAGTTTACCATTTTACCCCTATTAATTATGAAGTGGATGAATTAAAATTTAAGATTTTCAAGAAATTGTACCTTTTTCAAAGTAATTAATTGAGGGTATAATAAGTAAAATTATTTTGTCCTTTCTTGATTTGTCAAAATGGACAAGTAATTAGGGACAACTATAAAAGGAAAAGTGGACAAGTAATTAGGGACAGAGGGAGTACCATTTTAAAGTCTTTTTCAATATAGAGTTAAATTTATTTATTTTTGTGATTATTTGAGTAA